CAGATCATGAACTTGGACTCTGATCCTGAAACCACCAAGGGCTATGATAAGTGGGTTTTGCCTTATCATTCCAGGATCCAGGCATCCTTCCTTCCTTCAAGCCCATGTAGCCAGAAGTATCCCCCCCCCGACTGTTTTCCTATATACCCCCATTTCTATACCCCTTTGTGTGTTGTTTTTACTTCACTAGAATGAATGCTCCATGAAGACAGGGGTTGTTTTGATTGCGTATGTGTGTATGTGTATACACTTGTGTTTGGTGTCAGATGTCAGCAGGGTGATGTCAGAGGGACATAAGATGAGGAGAAACAACACAGAGGGAGCTGTTGGTGAATGGCCTCGATTTTTTCAAAGTATAAGGAAAAATCCTATGCTGAGAGCATCCTATGCTGATGGGGTGTCATGAAAAGCTTGAGAAGAGGTGAGTGGATTAAGGAGAGCCATAGTGGTCAGTGGGATAGGGAACTGATTAGAGAGGACCTTGATGTACTGAGGTCCCAGTTGACATGAGATAGCATAAATTTGTAGTGGACCAGTCAGTGTGGTTTTGTGATTTCTTCAGCACCAATCAGCACCATATTAGTAGGAGCAAAGGAAGAAGATGATGAAAATAATCCAAGGTTAGGATATAGCAAGTAGTGATAAGCAATCAAACAAAACAAGAAGAGATTTGAGTATAGAGGGCAAAGTCAAGTTGAATTCATTCACCAAGAAACTGTGATTGGGAAGGAAGGAGAACATAGATAGAAAAGTACTGAGCAGTGAAGATCATAGTGAGGACAGAGCAGAGTTAGGAGTAAGGCAAAAATAGCTAGAAAGATAAAAGATTATGATAGCATAGAGGAATTACTATAAACATCTCTTTAAACATAGTTTATTTTTTAAATCCTGCCTCATACATATTTTAAAAAGGTAAATTACCTAATGAGTTCCTTGTGCAGCAACATCAGTCTTTAGACAAGTCTCTTTTTTTCTTCCTCAATTGAATTATTTCTGTTTATGATCTCATAATTTCCTTCCTGAGAGTTTTGTCATCCCTCCCTTGGGCTGACCTCCCTGTACAATTTTAGGCCATGGAATCCAACCTCTCCTTTCTTTAAACCCGTTGAAACCTACATTATTTTTAGCTTTCCTCGCTTTCCATCCTGAATTATAAAATGAAGTACTGCTCATTTCCTCCTAAAGTTCCCATCATTTCTACTTTAGCAACAAATGCCTCTTTGTTGATCAGAATCAGGTGCTAAGATAGTAGTTTTCCTCATTTGTTTCCTCCATCATTAAGAAAAGTCCAGAATTTATGAGCTGCTCTACTTTTGGTGTATACAGAACCCCAGCAGATGACTAGGTCATGGAAGTCACTGAACACTATTGTATCACGTTTCTCATCCATTTCTTCCTTCTTTGAATGCCATAATACTCCTACATTAATGTTGCATCTGTTTTTTCTCTTGTCACCCAAATGCTGTCTCATTATGCTTCCTCCTTCTGGGTCCTGGATTTTCTCACATGAGCAGGCCTTTTTAAATTATTATTAATTTATTTTTAGTTTTCAACATTCACTTCCATAAGCTTTTGAGTTTTAAATTTTCTCCCCTTCCCTGCACCTCCTTCCCCAAGATGGCATGCGATCTGATATAGATTCTACATATACATTCCTGTTAAACATATTTTCACATTAGTGATGTTGTAAAGAAGAATTAGAACCAAATGGGAGGAAACACAAGAAAGAAATAACAAAGCAAAACAGAAGGGAAAAAAAAGAGCAAATAGCATGCTTTGATCTGCATTCAAAATTCCATAGTTCCTTCTTTAGATATGGATAGCATTTTCCATCATGAGACTTTTGGAAATGTCTTAGATCCTTGCATTGCTGCACATTGTTTGATGACTAACTTTGATGAGCAGGTCTTCTTAATAAGCAATGCTATTCTCTGCTTCCCCGTCTCCTACTTTATCTCTTATCCGTGTCCAATCTGTTGCCAAGACCTGTTGATTTTACATTTGCAATATCTCTCGAATATGCCACCTTCTCTTCTCTGACTCTGCTACCACTCTGATGCAGGCAAGTATCACCTCATGCCTGGATTACTGCAATCACTCATTGGTGGGTCTTCCTGCCTCAGGTCTCCCCCCAATACATCCTCCATTCAGCCACTAAAATGATTTCCCCAAAACACAGGGCCTCTCTTGTCATACACACCATTCTATAAACTCCAATGTCTTCCTATTGCCTCTAGGATCAAATACAGAATGCTCTGTTTGTCATTCAAAGCCCTTGATAACCCAGACCCACCTCTCTGACCCTTATAGTGTTCTTAAACCTTATTCCTTGACATGTGCTCTTCGATCCAGTGACACTGGCCTTATGGCTGATCTATGAACAAGATACACTATCTCTCAGTTCTTGTATTTTCTCTGACTGTCCCTCATGGCTAGAATACTCTCCCTCTTTTGCTCTGCCTACTGTCTTCCTTGGCTTCCTTTAAGGACAAACTAAAATCTCACCTTCTACAGGAAGTTTTTCCCAACTCTTCTTTATTCTAATGCCTTCTCTCTGTTAATTATTTCCTATTGATCCTATAGATAAGCTTGCTTTGCGGATATTTGTTTGTTCATTGAATCCCTCACTAAATTTTAAGTTCCTTGAGAACATGGAGTGTCTTGCCTCTTTTTGTATCCCCAGTGCTTAGCACAGTGTTTGGCTTATAGCAAGTACTTAATAAATGTTTATTGATTGATTGATTGAAGTGTTCAGTGGACCTTCTCTATCTTTTTTCCTCATCTTTCAACTTCATTTTTTTAAAATTATATATATATATATATATATATATATATATATATATATATTTGGCTAGGCAATGGAGTTAAGTGACTTGCCCAAGGTCACACAGCTAGTAAGTGTTATGTGTCTGAGGCCAGATTTGAACTCGGGCCCTCCTGAATCCAGGGCCGGTGCTCTATCCTCTTTGCCTAGCTGCCCCCATCTTTCAGCTTCTGCTTCAATCAGGATTCCCTTCTGCCTCTTCCTATCCTATTCCTTCTTTATTATGACCTTCAAAACTTTAATCTAATTTATTTTAAAAAAAAGTTTTGTTCTTATTTGTAACCTGAATTGAGAAGGGCATTATTCTGACTCTTCTAGAATGCAGATTAACTTGTATATGTCTACTGGTAAACTTTATTTTTGTTAGTCACTGTAATCAAGGCTTAAAAAATAACAGAGATTGTATATTCTCCTTTCCTAGATATCATCCCGTCTCTCAGTGACAGTCTTACCCAGGGGGAAAAGCACGTTGAGAAGATCTCCAGGTATTCCTTCCAAGAATCTAATTCAAAGATTAAACACTGGCTGATATAGTTAGAGTTTAGAAAAGGGAGAAGCTGAAATTGAAAAGGTAGGAAGAAATATACAAAGAATATTATGGGGAGAAGTACAGAATAGCACCATAAACAATTTTTACTCTTTCTATTTCACATGTTTCCATACTCTCGCTTGGACTTTTCTTATGCCCTTCTCCACTATTCGCCCAAAGCTATTTGCAAATTCGAGTCAGGAACCCAATAAACAAAGAGAATGGGTCAGAGAAGCCACTGCTGCCTGGAACACAGCCTACATTGCACTTATAAAAATTTCATTTTCTGGAGCAAATATTTTGATTCCAACATTTTTGGGTCATATTAGGATCAGGAGCTGGGGTGGATGACAACAAGCTGTTTGCCTAAAAAAATGTCCCAAGTCTGAACTGGCATGTACTCATCATGTTTCCTGATGTTAAAATAGAAACTTGTTTTGCTCACAGAAAATAACTTGAAATCAAAGTCATTCGTGTTGAAATCATTTATTTTCTCACTCGCAGGGAAAATTCCTCTTCTTAGACAAAATGAGAGATAAGGAAGGTAAAACTATGCAGCAACAGGCTTTTCTCAGATTTTGCAAAATCTTGGAAATCTCAAAACACTTGTTTTTGTTTTTTAATTTACAGTAACATTCCAAATGAAATACAATTTCTATTAATGCCTTTGGAATTTGTGAGATTATAGCCTGTATTTTGGTACTTTTTGAATGGGGAGGGGAATATGGAGATCTTCCACCCTTTCGATAATAAAATGATAATGAAGATGCTACATGATTCATCTTTGGTCTGTGTGGCCCTGGCGGGAAGAAATACTCTTGTCCAGTCTTCTTCATGTACTTGAAGCTAAGTTGAACAAGCTCAAAACAATCCAATCGGACGCTACTCAAACCTCTACTAGAAGGCTTGGTGTTTTATTTCCTCTGGGAGAAAAAAATGTGCCAAGCCATAACCCGGGGATAAGCGACTCCCGGAATATGCCCTCGCCAGTTCTGTTAGAGTCACGCAGACTTGAATGCATACCCCGGGTTTGCATTCTCGCCTGCCGATCCTGCCGCTCTCTCCAAGACACACCCCTCCCGACTAGAACTCACCTGCACCAACCCCTTCTCCCAGGCTGTGCATACAGCGCATACCTCTCCTTCCTGGCTCACCATTGGCCTCAGCTCCCTCCTCATTTCATTAGGCTTCCAACTTTGCTTCCCATGTCCCAGTAGTTCACTGTCCCTGACCCCCTCAGTCCCTTGCAGTTTCCTTGCGCTCTGGGCTCTCCGGGAGAGCCTGCGCGTGCTCTCCCCTCGTTCCGAGCTCTCGGGGAGCAGAGAAGGAGGCCAGGCACGCGCGTGGGCTCGCGCCCTTCCCCGCCCCTCTGGCTGCTCTTCTGCCCTCCCTCTCCCCATCCCTCCCTCCTTCTTTCCCTCCCTCCCCTGCAGCGCCTCCCTCTCTCCGGGAGAGAACCGTAGAGGGGCTGCGGGCGCCTGGCCAGAGCGGTTCAGGCTGCTCTCCTCCACGCTCCTGGCCCCCGAGCTCCAGGAGCTGCGGGAGGGGGACCCCTGCAGTTGGCAGCTCGGAGAGGGAGAAGGGCTGAGGACGGAGCGTGCGCTTCTCGGCGGCCCCGCCGACTGTCAGCGCTGCTCCTCCCCTCCAACCTGTTTCCCTCGCTGCTGCTGCTACCTCCTCTGCGCTGCTCGAGCCCCAGCCGGGCTACCCTCTCGGGAGGGCTTCCCCTCCAGACATGGATTTACTCCTGGGACTGGTGCTCGCGTCTTCGCTCTACCTGGAGGCTTCGTCGGAGTTCGATGGAAGGTAAGCCGAACCCCGTGGAGGGGAACCGCAGCTTTCGGGAGGCAGGGGACCGTGACTGGGGGAGAAGGGTTTCTCGGCCCTCCACTCGGGTCAGGGAGACGTTTGTTAAAGCCTCGGCTGAGGTCGGGACCCTATACATACCCGAGCTGGGGAAAGAGAAATGCATGAAGTCCCTTGCTACCCGGCAGTTTGCAAGCCTGTCTCACCACCGCGGACTGAAGGTACGAGACAGCCACCTGTGCGGGGCAAATAACTTAGTGGTCGGGTGGGGGCCGCGGGCTGCAAGGCGTCCAACCGTCCCTCGGTTACATCTCTTCCCCCGCCCCCAGTTGGGAGAAGGGGGAAGATTATTGGCGAGGAAGGATCCCAGCCTGTGCGCTCTAACTAAAAAAAGCCTATGCCTTCATCTCCTGTGGAGGGGAGCGTTCCGAACGAGCAGATGAACCCCGGACCATCTCACTGCCCTAGGACGTTAGTCCACTTTTCACCGTTCTCTACCGTGTGAAAGGGAAACTTCTGAGTAGCCCCCAGTAAATCTCTCCGTGGCACTATCAGAGGCCCAAGTACACTCGGACTAGACGGGAAGAGCCTGAGGGCTCTGGTGAAGATGCCTCATCCACTGGCCCTCTTTCTCCTCCTCTAAAGAGTCGGAGGCTGAAAGCATGTCCCGAAAATATGGGAGAAGGGACACTGGCCCCCTGGGGGAAAGAACCAAGGGTATGAGGTTGGGGCCGGAGTGTGTGCTGTGTACTTGAATAATGAATGTTGCACCTAACAGGGACCCGCCATCTGCGTGCTTTGACAGGTTTGAACAACTCTCCCCAGGCTGCGCACTGTCACTCAGCTGGGGCGCACTACTTCCTGCACACTGCGCCCTCCCTCCAGCCGGTCGGGAACAGCTGCCGGGCTCGCCCGCAGTTGACGCCGCCGGGGAGCCCTTTCTTGCTAGGGCCTGATCAGTGCGTGTTTGTGCGCTCGCTTAGTTAACTCCGGACAGCCGGAGAACAGACTAAGCCGCTGCTTGGATCTGCGTTCCAGGTGAATCAGCTAAGGGTGTCTGGAGCCCTGGGCGCTTCTGAGAGGGTCACACAGCCTCAGGGCTCCTCTTCTTAGGCTGGTTTAGCTGCTCCTGGAATTTGAACCCCGCCTCCTTACCCCCTTCCCTGCTTGCCCCCTAAAGAAACAGTCCACACCTGGTTTACCTGTGCAGTCTTGGAAGGAACCTGCCACGCTGGGTTTGCTTTCTTGTTCCTACTGAGGACGCAGGCGGACTGGGGTAAGGGTGGGGGTAGTTAAGAAGACTTGAAGAAAAAAAAAAGTGCAGCCACTTGATGTACATTCATGGCCTAGGGAAATAGAAAGTTTGGGGGACTTTTTGGTGGGACAGTAAAGAGAACACTTCTAGCAGGAGAAATAGACTAAGTGTATTGTTCTGTTTTACTCCGAGTCCAATATAGACAAGTTCAATGCAGTTTTTACACTTTCGATTCCAGTTAGGAATTCATCAAATACACATCTGCACGAAATCTTATGGACCTTTTTTTAAAAAAATCAGAAATAGGCATAACCATATATATATACACATACATATATGTATATGTATACACACACACACATACACATACATATGTATATACTGAAAATCCCTTAAGCTTAGCTGGAGAAAACATTAACAAAAAAAAGTGTCCAAAGGAAGAATGTATAAAAAAATGAAAATCAATCAATGACCTGTGGCCTTCTATTAAGTGCCTACTGTGTATCCTTTAGCTGTCAAAATATAATGAAATATTTTCGGTTTGTTACTTTTAGCTTTGCACTAATAATAATAGCATCTTTTAATAGTACACAACAGTTAAGAGTTTAGAGCTTTTTTTATGAAGCGCTTTCATATGCCTTATCTCATCTGATGCTTAGAACAAGTGGGTCAGATAAAGGAAGGGAAGTGCCTAAGTGCTTTACAAATGTTATTATCTCATTTGTTCCTCACAACAACCCTGGGAGGTAAATACTGTTATTATCCCCCAGTTTACAGTAGAGGAAACTGAGGCAGGCATAGGTTAAGTGACTCTCTGTCTTTGTCTCTCTCTGTCTCTCTCTTTCTCTCACACAGGTACACACACACAGTGTCTGAGACTAGATTTGAACTCAGGGCTCCCTCACTCCAAGCCCTTTTGTAGATAAGAAAACTGAGGCTCTTGGTTAGACGTTGGCTAGTAAGTAGGCAGAGCTAGGAAGACTCAGACTGAAGTCTTCAGACTCCTTTCTATTTACACTCTTCGGCAATCGTTCTACAACCTACTTTGTCACACTGCATAAAGAGGAAAACAGTAAGGATTATTGACAGAAAAGAAAACGTTCTGTTTCTTTCTAGCTAGTCAGTTATCTCCAGGACAATTTTAGTGAAAATTTTTGTAAACTTTTTTGTCTTGTTGCTAAGATTTTTTCTCAAGAGCTTTTGGTGGAGAACTTTTAAAAGGAATCTCTTCAAATCCCTACTATCTTATTCTCACTATATCCAGGGTGGGGAAAGATAATCTCTTTCTTTTTTTTTCTTCTCATTTATATAAGAGAGAAAGTAAAGATTATTTTTGTTCATTGTTTTGGCAAATTTATGGTTGATGTTTAATTGTTTGTGTGGAATCAGTCAAAGCTTTTGATTTTGTTCTCCATTGGTAGTAATAGGTCATTAGGAACAAGGTTTTAACACTCATCCTATGACTTTGGGCACTGAGTATCCAAGATAATTTGTTTTAGCTTCTTCTAGGGAGGGATTACCCCCTATTTGAGGTTTTCACTGTGGGAGTTAGGTCATAATGAATATTACCTGAAAGTTTGATTTTTAAAATTTCCATAGATGACAGGCTTAGCAGAGAGATATATGCTATATTATTTCTAAGAAATTCATGGAGTTGTTTTTAATCTCCAAAATGTATTTACCTGGTTTTTCTTTTCTTTTTCCTTTTTTGTAGGTGGCCCAGGCAAATAGTGTCCTCCATTGGACTATGCCGCTATGGCAGTAGGATTGATTGCTGCTGGGGCTGGGCTCGCCAGTCATGGGGACAGTGTCAACGTGAGTATTGTCACTGCTGGGGCTTTTAGCCACCTGGGAGGAGGGGCTTGTCACAGTCATTAATGGCTTTCACTCTATACAGTGCTGGGCTTATTACTGAACAGGGCTTGGCACGTGCAGGTCTGATGTTTAAGTTTTCACGTACAGTCTCGGGTTCCTTATCTTGCCCTTTCCCAACCTGACCTACCTTCGTTATGATGCCAATTCTGTTGTTCATAGAGAACCACCCAGGACTTCCCACTTAATTGTTTGTCCTTAATATTTCTAGCTTTTGCTTTCTCATCAAATTTGCTTCTCATTGCTCCAGGCTTCAAGATGGGGCAAGATAATGAGTCTAGACTGTATTTACATTAAATAAACCTTGAACCTGATGACTATGATACAGTATTTGCCTTAGCTGCTGTGTAACGTAAGGTGGCCCATTTAGGAAAAAACAAAACAAAACAAAACAAAAAAACATTTTCTTGAAGCCATGCAGTACAATCTGAATGGCTCACCCAACACAAGTCAAATTTCATAGCAACTAAAAGAAATACCAGTTCCAAATTAATTCTGTATTGTTAAATCAAAGCCATTTAACCTGTGCCTAGTTAAGATATTGGTTTCCCTTTTTCCATGATCATAAAAAAATTATAGAAAGGTCAAATTTAAGATTATATCACATGAGCTGAGGAAGGTCAAATTCAGAATTACAACATTATTCCTTTAATGTAAAACTTTTAAAGCTAGGCATCCCCACTCCATAAACCAAGCTATCTAAGTGATGATCAAAGAATTGTTCACCTGAGCACTGGGATCCCTAGGATATCTCCAAGACTTAAGAGGATTGGACTGGGCATGCCAACCCTGGAAATTTGTCAATGCCAGATTAGCATTTGGTAGCAAATATGCTCTGTAGCCATAATTCAGAAGACAGATCAACTGAAAGACTGGAAAGCAAGGAGGCCAGAATTGGAAAGGAAGGATCCCGTCTTAGAGGTATAGTGACAGTGAAGTATTAAAGCAAACTTATGTGCACAAAAGCTAGGAGTTTCCGTAGCAATTTTAAGCTCTGGGATGGTTTCAACTTCATGCCTTTATTAAGTTTAGTGGAGAGAGACTGTGATGAGGCTTACTCATGCTGATGAGACTGCCTATTTAGCCTTATTTTGTAGCACGTTCAGGATATTTAAAGAGTAGGTGTGGCAAAGCAGTAATAATATTATGCCTTATCAATATGAAATAAAGGGGATGGTGACCAAAAATGAGAAAGGTGCTGGGGGATATTTTGTGGCCTTCTAGCATAGGGCCAGATAAGAAGGTGCTAGCTCAGAGATGTTGACCTCAGAGGCACCCTATATTGGCAAGAAGAGGGAGGGGGTGCTGGCAGCAACCAATTCTTCTTCTCTCCCTCTATTCTTGGGTGGCCAGCTGGTGCAGTTACTCTCAAGGGGTGGCGATGATTTCTTGTTGCCCTGCTGATAGCTCCATTTCCAGAGAACTTCCATCGTGAATCCCAGTGGCAAGTTGGATGAATATAGTTCCTCAGCTCCACCCAGAATAAGCAGCCACGTTGGCAAGATGCCCAGGAGCAGGAGGGGAGAGAGCCTTACTCTGAGGCAGAGGAGTTAGGAGTACATGTAGCTTTAGCTAAAATGTGCTGTTAGAGCATTCTAAGTGGAGAGCGCCATGTGCCCTTTGGAGGGCCACCACATTCTCAATGGAATGCCAGAGGTGGCATCTCCAGCTGTTCCACAATTCTTCTTTCCCATGTCCCTTTTCCCCTAACTTGGAATTTCTGCACGTGAATTATTTTCAAAGTCTTGTAATAATCAGTGACAAAGTGAAGTTGAAGAATCCATGCTGGTTTTGAGCAGGTCTTTCTGTGATAATATTCTTAACAGCTATTGGGGACATGATAGCCTCTTATAAAAAAAATCTTTAGGAGAAGTCAGAAATTATATTCTAACTTTTATTAATGTTTCCATTGGAGATGTTAAAAAATTAGTCCTAAACGAGTTATCATAAGTATCGTAGTAATGGAAGTTTGAGCTGGTGTTCCCTCTGAGGTGCATGCCTAAGTAGCGATCCATCACATGTCATGTTCTGGATGTCTGCCAAATCTTCAGCTACAGTCTGCTTAGTATCTCTTCCATCCCTTTTGAAGTATTAGAAGAATGTCTGTGAATAAGAATGTGGGTGGCCCACCAAAATAGCTATAAGACCCTATCATGGTGCAGGGTAAATGGGTACAAGTGGACTTCCACACCTTTTCATCCTCCATCTTTGTTCAGTTGCATGTGCATATATTTATTATTTTGATATTAGAGAACACAGCAATTTGTTCTACCCATTGATTAAAGAATTAAGAACACTGTTTTGAATACCAAACCCTTATGTAACAATAATAATAGCCAGCATTTATATAGCACTATGAGGTTTGCAAAGCACTTTATAAATATTATCTCATTTGATCCTCACAACAACCCTGGGACATAAGTGCTATTATTATCCCCATTTTACACAGGAGGAAACCGAGGCTAAGGAGAATTAAGAGACTTGCCCGGTATCACACAGCTAAGTGTCTGAGGCCAGATTTGAGCTCAGGTCTTCCTGATTCCATGTCTACTACACAGAGAGATAATTGTAGCAACTCAAGATGTTGTAATATCTAGTACTTTTCACATTAAGGAATTATTCTTTTTTAAATGAGGCTCCAGCCATCTGTGAACTTATCTATGTGAATATTCCCTCCTACAATGCAATCAGATCATAATTCATCTATGCCTATCTGTCCTGTTTGACTCTTCCATTCCTTCCCATAAATTCACTCTGTGGAGTCCATCCAAAGAGTTGTTGACTTTCCTCACATCTCTTGACATAACAGGGATACAAGTGAATTATAGGCTTGTAGTTGCTAGAAGGGACCTTAGAGGCCATGAAGTCCAGCCACATCATTTTCACAGATGAAGAAATTTAACCAAGGTCACACAACTAATAAATAACTGAGACAACCCCTTTCTTTGTTTGTTCACCCATTTCTCCTATGACATCCTTCATATCACATCTCCTTAATCCTTCCTTGTAATATTCTTCCAGCTCATAGACCACTATGGGTTTTTCCATTGCCCTTTGGATGATTCTCAACTTTACTTCTTTCAAAGACTGTCATGCTCTTGACTGTTTTCATACTTTGCAGTCTTTTTTTCACTCTTTTTCTCATTATTCATTTTACTTATATACTTGAACTTACTAGAAGAGGGAAGCACCTTTTCAAGTGTGACCTTCCTCTCATTATTCTTTCTGCCTCTCAGAACAAAAATAATGTTTATAGATGTATACACATACATATTCATAACTCGAAATAATTATGAACCCTATGTAACCTAGGATTTAAGCTCATGGAATTTTGCTTCACTGAAAATTAAGTTTATGTCACCAAGAAGCAAAGTTAGCAAAGACCAGGATTATGTCCACTTTCAGAACTCGCTGGGCATGACAACTTTTCTTGTTTCTTTTGAAAAACATTAAATAACTCTGAGATTTTCTGGGTTGCCGCCATAGAATAAAACCACTCTTGAAGAAAGAAGGGCCAAATACTTCCTCCTTGGGTCTACTGGCAGCATTTAAAATGACAGGGTGGTTTAGCTTTTTTTTTTTTAATGAGAGGAGATTGATTTTGCTTCATCTGTGGTTTCTTTAAGAATCCCATGCATTTCTTGTACATTCAAAACTAGCGCACAAGCACACTCACTGTCCCATTTGAAGATGCTAGAGTATTAGTTGGAATCCTCCCACTATATTTTTATGTGTTTCATAATTATGTGGGGGCCCTACTTCTACAGAATTCCCACATTTAGCTTTGTGAATGTTCTGATTTGTTGGAACAATCAAATACGGAAGACATATGTAGGGAGTTGGAGAATACTCCATATGAATAGAATAGAGCCTAATAGTGAATAACACTGGCTCATGAATTAGGAATCCTTGATTTTAGCCCTAGTTGAAGCTGTGGAAGTCACTTGACTTTTTAATTTGCCATCTATAAGAAGGAGTAAGGTGGGTATCACAGAGGGTGCTGGACTTGGAGTCAGGGAGTCTTGAATTCAAATTCTGCCTCAGATACCCTGGGCAAGTCACTTAGGCTTTCTTAGCCTCATTTTCCTCATATGTAAAATGGGAATTATAATAGCACATACCTGCTAGAGTTGTTGTGAAGATCAAATGAGGTTACATATGTAAAGCATTTTGCATGCCTTAGACAATTGTATAAACACTGGCTAGGTAGTCCATTTCTGACCATCTCAGAGGAAGCTTATCAGGAAAAAAAATCTGTGAAAACCATTTACATTTTATATGGTCCTTCGGAAAGTTCAAAGCGTTACTCCATTTAGTAATGGGAAATTTACTTATAATAGTTAATAATATTTATAATAGTTGTCTTATAATAGTTAAATGTGACATTAGAGGTCCCCCATAGGAAAATGGCAGAGATTAGGAAATTTAGTTCTTAAAAAATTCTTTTTAAAGTGATAGTTTCTAAATTTCAGCCAACTAAGGATATGCTTATAAGGAAGAGAGGAAGTTTGAGTGCCAAGGTCACTCTATGGAAGATGACCTTGTTCTTTTATTTCAAAATAGAAATTCAAAAAATCATTAGCTGGAGTGCTCAGCAGATTCTAATGGGCCCTACGTTCCAGACTCCCGAGCATGGATGCTTTTATGAATAGATATTGGTTGGGCCTTACTGAGACCTCTCTTTAGATCTCCGAATTGAGAGTCATATGTGGCAAGTAAACAAATCACATGTTATTTTTAAGTTGCTAACATGCTGTCTCATATTTGTTGTGCTCTGTTCTGTAGTTCAGGGGTTCTTAGGTACTTTGTGTGTCTAGACCCCTTTGGCAATCTGATGAAGCCCATGGACCCCTTCTCAGAATAATGTTTTAAAATGCATAAAACAGAATAAATACCTAGGATTACAAATGAGATCAGTTTTGGGAGCTGCTTGGGACCATGAT